TTCAAGTTTTACGTTTTTATCGACTGAACCATGTCTCATAAATCCGGATCTCAACCGTGCAGTGTCATTTCCAATTTCTTCACCTGTAAATCTCACTTCGAACCAGCAGCGAAATCATGGTTAGTACCTTACGATCATTTCCTCCTCTTCTTTCCCGATCGTTCGAAATGTCTTCCACTCGTTTAGCAACGAAAATTGCAATAAAACTTTCACATCTAAGCGGAACCGTGTAAAAATAAACGAACTGGACATGTATCGAGCACTCGATAAGACATAACAGTGGAATTATTATATCGAGACTTATCGTTCCATAGACCTCTTGTACTTTTGAAATGTATATTATTAAACGTGTCTTCTATTCGTTAGATGTTTTATTCTTCGCTCGAATTCTTTATAATCTCCCTTGATTCGCTTAAATTCAGCACGCGTTCACGATTCGCGTTAACCGCGTTTCTCGCGCGAACTTGATATTTCGCGAAACAAAGAATATTTCCCGGTTACGAAATTGTCTGATATCGGTATGCCTAACGTCAACATGAACTTGCGTTTAATATTCATATGTCTGCTCCGCGACGTGAACCGGTTGAACTTTCCTTCCACGAACTTTGCCCGGATAAAATTGACCAAAGTTCCGCCGATCGCGTGAATCATGCAATTCGATGATTAAACCCTGAGATGCAACTTTTCGATACTCGTTTCTGTGTATCGGCATTCGCTGCTCTAAATGTGAACGTAGCTGAAAAGATTTAATTTGCGTGGAATTTGAAGCAACGTAGAGATGAGTACCTGTATGCGTGTGTATAATTTTAGTAAATTAATATTTTGATCAAACTTAATATTTTCGTATATTAATGTTTTGACCAAAATTAATAATATGGTAAATTAATATTTTGATAAATTAATATTAATATTTTGACCCACACGTGAACAGTAGACCATCATACGACCCACATTTTACAGTGATAATTGTACTTAACTCTCAGAAAGTAGTTTAATATTGAACCTACTTTAAAGAGTAATTTAAAAGGCAATGGAAAAATGTCGAAACTCTTGAAATTTCTGCAGTGAGATTTTTTGCAGAACAGGTTTTAGATATGTTCTGAAGGATTATATTGTAGAAATTATAATCTGTGTTTTATGTCAACAAAATTTGTTTTCTTTTTTAAAAAAAAAAAGGTATTTTTAAATATACTTACAACTATAACATTAAAAATTCTGTTGCCTATTTGTCGACACCCGTTTGGAAAGGGTGAAATATGAAAAGTATATCAAGATCGATAGCGATCTATAAACTCTCTCGTTCTTGTTTGCTATAGCTGACAACCTAATAGCCAAGGGGATTGATACGACATCAACCCCTTAAGAATCGAATTATTCTAGAAAACTCGGTGAAAAATTCCCAACTTTTTCTATTATCAATTTTCCCGAGAAAACGTCGAACTGCATCCCCACTTTTCGCAGCATTGGCATAGCTCGAATGGCAAAATCGTAATTAACCGAAGACAGTAACTGCACTTAGTCGGATTCAATTAGAGCAATTAGCATTGATGCCGAAGAACGATATTTAACGGAACATTCCGTTTGTGAATTCAGCTTATGTAACTGAAGTCAATTTTGCATTTTTCTAGGTGTTGGTTTCAACGAATTAAATGGCTCTTTTTTTAAATATGGAGTGGCGAAACAACGTCGAATCGTTCATTTCACGATTCTAACTATAGTTCCTATTTTATAACAGTTTGAGAAGTTTATTTGAAAGTCTGGATAATTTATGCGTCTAATATTGGTATTGTACATTATAGCATACTGTATAATTCTTATAAATATTAATATAATATACACAATATGCTATAGCAATTAGTAGATATATTTATTAGACCAGTATATTCGCATTTTTCCTCCAACAGGAAATTAATAATTGGATTTAAAATGAAACGAATTAAATAACTTTTAAATTATAGAAATTTCGAACGAAGTCGAGTTAGTCTTTTGAAAATTTAGGAAATTAACAATCCGATTTCCACTTCGAGCTAATAATAAGAAACTGAAGCAACTGGAAAGATGAAAAAAAAGACAAGACAAAAGAATGGCGGTCCTTTATTAGTACAGCGATACGTCTCTCGTAAAATAAAGCTGTTCTTCTCCGATTAATATTTCTTTTCCGTCCATCGAGGAAATAATTCAAATTATCGCCAGAAAGTATTAACGCGCGCATCCGCGATTTCATAAGAGCAGATACCCGTTTCATGACACGTGCAATTGCGGTTTCAATACGGTTTCATTCATGGCTATTACGTAACATCGTCAACACTTGCTTCACATTTTCAACGTGTCAAGATGAAGTACAATCCAGATGCTTTGTGGATGTCAAACGTACAAAAAGCGTAAAACGATACTGAGAACTTGCAAGCAATTCTCATGATAATCTCGTTCAGAAGATATTCCATTTCGTTACGAGTTTGGTAGCTTACGTAAAAAGTTACGCAAAAATGGAAATAAAAATAAAAAACGTATGACACTATCTAGAAAATTCTCGTCCCTTTTTTCCCAACACTGCACTTCTCGCGATTATTCCCGATTCTTTGCGATTCTCCGCAATTCTTTCAATGACACGTCCACACGTGACGCGAATTTTCCTCTGTCAAATGAAAACACGATCGCGTGACGTCATATTCCTCGTCTCGTGTGCCACAATGTTTTCATGAAAATTACGTTTGACATGCGTCGATGACACGAACGATGAAGCAAGATCGATAGAAATTCCAGTTTTCCCTGTCACTTCCTGAAATCGCTTATCGCACAGAATGTAGACTTACCGTTACGCGAAAATGGATTCATCGCGGTAAGAAGCTCATGCGGAAAATGGAGTCTGCTAATAGCAATTCCAAAGAATAAACAACAGAGTCATTAATACCAATTTCCATGATTTATACACGATTCGTAATAGTAGTATGTTTACTCTTAAAGAACATGCACGTGAAAATACGAGGAAAAGGTGAAATAATCAGATATCTGAGAGTCAGAGACGCCACGTGGGTAGTCAAGATGGCGGATATATGCGTTAGAGAGGTGGAGACGTTTCTTGACACTTCTTTGCTTCCTGGTGCCTCCTCTCACGAATTATCTTAACGTATCACTAGTTTCGAAAGAAATGCACAGATAGCGTTGATATTAGATAGCCCAAGCCTCGAAAACGTTATGGCAACCTTGTCGAATACGAAGAAATTTACGTTTCTCCGTGAGAAACATTGACAACGTATAGACATTTACGAAGGTACAAATTTCTCGCGAAGACAAAATCGACGAGGCGATAACGCGTGAAGACTTTAACGATAAATCCAAGGAAGAAATTCTAATTCTACGTTGCAAACTCTTCCCTAGCATAAACTTCGAGGTGAAATACGAACGTACCCGTGGCCAAGCGGTCGCCATCAGTAGTCCCTCGTAAATAAACCGACGCGGGAAATAGTATCTATTTCTGTACGCGAAATTGCCATTTTTCTTGGCCAAACCATTCGATACGCGACACCCTGGACATGGCTAATAATAACACGTCGACATCGGGACTTTTTAATTCGCCTTTTCTGACGTTCACCGTCGAGTAATGTGCTTCGGCGCGACACGGCTCGAGCAACCCGAAATGATTTCTCGGTAAAACGACTGCAGGATTCCACGATAATGCGTTCATACCGTTTTAACCTTTATTACGTTTAAGTATAGCAAGTGACGAAGGAAACCAGTTTCGAAGAGAAAAACCGATCGACAGTCCGTGTGAACCGTAAAATGTACTGTAACCTCGAGACGGTGGAGACCAGCCTTCACGGAGCTGCGGGCTTTTATCTACCTTCTTGGGCGACTGGAGAGGTCGCCGGATATCTGCCGCGTTTCTAGATCAGAGGCTTCCTTCAAGCGTTATCGTCGATTCGCTTCTATGTATCGTGCAATGATTCTTATGCGAAAAGTGTACAACGCTCGCCTCGATAATGAAGTCATTGTCTTACACGCCGATAAATTTTGTGCCCCGAGGACAAGAGCAGTCCCTGAAGCCTGGCCTAATAGAATTGCAAAGGCAGCCTACTTCCAGCCAATGAATTTGTTTCGCGAGACTGATTGGAATTAAAAATGTCGAATAACCGACTGTCACTTTTAACGTCATCATTTCTTCGTTTCAATTTCTTTTATTTATTTATTTTCCTTTCTTTCTCACGATCTTTGCGTTTAATCTTTCGACGAATTCGTCTTGCGAGATTGATTGGAACGCAAAACGTGGAATGACCGACCGATACTTTTAACGCGATATTTCTTCTGTTCAATTATCTTCCTTTTTCTAATTTTTCTTTCTTTCAGACTTTAACCTCAACCTTTGTATCTACCAATATATCTTTCCGACTATTTTTTTTACTTTCTGTCTGTCGGACCAACTTTCATTAATGGTATTCATTTTATCTTACGATGCAATGAATGTATACGATGAACGTCATTGTGTTTTCTAGTCTGCGAATTTTTCACTCCTTTTTGCTGTTTTCTTATATTTTATGTATTTGTATGTATGTATGTGTGTGTGTGTGTGTGTGTGTGTATTTCCTTTTGTTTTCTTATATTTTATGTACACAAGGCTGTGCTCAGCTCGTTAATGAATAAATATATAAATAAATTAGTACATTTCTATTTTTTGATCATTGGAAACTCGTAAACGCATTGTCAATGTTTGATTTACATTTATTATATTTGCCAAATACCGGGTTTATTAGTGCGTTTAAGGATTGCGAAGTTAAACATGAGCGTTAAGTTTGTTTTTTTTTTTTGTTTATTAGGATTTTTAGGTGTGTTAATTTGTACTGCAATTATGTGAGGTGGATATTGATGTCTCGGATCGGTTATGTCTGCAATTGTTTGGAATACCGTTTCAATTTGTACGAGAAGTGGATTTTTAAACGATTTCGAAGTTTTTTCTTTACGATGTGGGATTGAATTAATAGTAAGTACAAAATAGATCGACATACCATAACTGTTGGTTTGCGTATTCTTCATATCACTGCCTGGTTGTGCAGCTATTTCGATTCTTTGAGATACGTTCACGTTTTATTTTCGTTAATGTGTGTTATCTGTAACATACGAACGATGGATATTTGAAAATGCGTATTTGCTTAACTATGTCTAATCGGTTCTAAATGCCCATAGATATTTCCACGTGTAGGAATTTCCAAATGTTTCAATTCTTAGGTAACTTTCAAACATTCTGTTTCCACTTTAATGGACTAAGTATCGATAACTTGTGTCGATTTATTATTTAACTATAATCGATATTTCATTTATAAAATATCCTTTAAATACCACAGAGATTAATCGATCATAAACCAGATAAAGTCGTTTATTGTGTTTCGCAAATTTTTATCTGTTAGAATTCGATTGTCGATCAATCTTGCAGAAATAGGAATTATTCTAAACCTGAAGATTCGAGTTGGAAATTTAAAAAAAGTGTAGCAATTCTCACGGATTAACGGATCAGTATTGTCTCGCAATAATATGTTTTCAAACAAGCAGGCATCTTATCGGATCTCGATATCGGAGGGAGATAATCAACGACGCTAGTGTTTCTACTTACACAAAGTAAATAAAGGAAACGAAGTAAGAAAACTGACAGTAAATAATCTCAAAGTTGTCGTCATCTTTAGTGCATATGATGATGCAATTACTCAATTTCGACTAAAGGAAGAAACGTTAATTAATTATTCCTTTCCTTTAAATTATATCGCTACTTCTTTTTGACAGCAAGTATAAACATCGGTGCAATCTCGTATAAAATATTAATTAAAGGATTAAAGAAACTTAATTTTACATAAAATTATACGAAATATTCGTGTCTGTACGGAGAAGAAAAATTGCTGAGAGATGGCTAACAAATTAAACTTTGAGTAACTAATTGACGGAGATAATGAAAATCATTGATTGCTGAAACATGCAAATTGAAATGATAATTTTATGCTTTCTTCGGAGTTTTCCAAGAACTCTCTAATTATAATGACATTAATATTCATACAATATGTAATTTCATTATTGAAACAATGAAAATTCTTCATTTGAATTAAAAATTCACTACTAACTATCCTATATAATTATTAACCATATACATATAAATAACACACTACTCTAAGCTAGACCAGAGATTGGCTGCACGAGGCTTGCGGATACATGGCTGCTCTTCACTTTGCAAAATATCCAATTCTTTAGTTACATACATCTTAATTTATTGCGCATTAAATCAAAGTAAGGTATGCTTAATCACAAGTCAGCCATCAAGCTGACCCTCTTAACGAAAACGTTCGTTAGATAATTCACAATCCGCGTTTCCACGTTACTCTCACCACACACCGAACTACATGCATTCCAAACTCCAAAGAAAAAAAAAAAAAAAACAGAAAAGAAATAGCAAAGTGGATAGCCTCAGAAGCGGAGTGGATCGCGATAACAGACACCTGCGATCGGTTGCATCGGCAAGGAACATCAACCTCGGCATCTAGGACGGTCTAAGCGTTACACAATGCACGCATTCCCGCCTGATCGGTTGCCCGTGGATCGCGAACGCATAATCGAACGTTGCTCGATTACCAAAGATGCAAAAGCAAGGATCGTACGCGCGATCACGTAACGAGCTCGCGACGTTGGTGATTTCAACGGTGGCGCCGCGAATCGCGGTCGAGACAATGCGAGACGCCAGTCAGAAGGACAAGGTGTTATTGACCCGTCGTCTCGTGACAGAGGGAAAGGAAAAGCAAGATGGAAAACAAGAGGAAAAGCAAAAGGAAAACGGCCAAAGCGGACGAGAAGCGAGGAAAGAAAATCTCGAATTCCTCTGCGACTCGCGCAGCAGCTCCGCTTATTACACGCTTGATTACTGTTATACACTGTACACAGGATGCTAATTACGATTTAACCAGTCGCTATGCAACGCCGTCGATGCGCCAGTTCACCCGACGATTTATTATCTTTCACTTTGCTTCGTTCCCTTTTCTTTTTCTTTTCTTAGTTTTTTTGTTTTCAGAAAAGATAAGGTTAATCCTCGCCGGCAGAAAAGATTGTCGAAGATTAACGAGAGAGACGAGACGGAATTCGCGTTTATGGCTGCGCCGAGAACTCGATGGCGCGTCGCCATTATTCAGATAATCCATGCTTTCGTTAACATATTTCTAAAATATTTATAAAATATTTGCGTTTCAAGTGTATTTTCAACTGATATATTTGTTCCGTTAATTTTATTGCAATTTTATTGTAACGTAAACGAATGCAACAACAAATAAGTATTTCTCCACTTCAACTATTTTCTAGTTCATTTCTAGTACAGTTGATTATTTTAGTTCTGAAAGAATGTAAGAGTGGAGGAAACTAGAAACTTTCATTTGCGCGTAATTCTGAAAATTTTGTCTAATTAAGTAAGAATTTCGCGGAAAAAATATTTGTGAAAATAACTAAGAATGTTTTATTACTAATTTATACCCATTTGTGAAAATTATTCGCTTTATTAATGCATCGCTGGATTATTTATATGAAGCTTGGAGATTCGCCTTGAACCGCTGTTTACAAGACAAACCGACGTTAGCCAACCTTCTGTAGCATTACCATAGTTGTTGATTGATTTTTCTCATTGTGAAAAACACGCGATTCCTGAGATCTATCATGCTACAAAATACAAAATATTTTGATGTGTCGATGCGTTTGCAGAATGCGTCAACCGTGATGCAATTGCGGTTAACGGACAAGATTACATGCAAATGAGATCATGTTACTTGTCGATTTTCATTCTTTTCCCAAACAATGAGAAGGGACATCTTACGAACTCGCGATAATTTTACTAATAAACAAGGAAACACGATACGTCAATGTTTCGCATTAATGTCAAAAGTAAATTGCATTTTGCAATTTTCTCGTCGCTTCTCACGGCTTAATTAAAATTTCTATCAATTTTGCCGTAACTAAAACACACTCCGTTAATTTACAACTCTAATTGATTTCAATATTCAGAATTTTATTGTAACACAAAATTCTCTCGTTTCAATCTCCAATCTAAATTAATTTTAATTTCCCAAATTTTATTATATCACAGGATTCACTGGACTGTTCTCTTGTTATAATTTCCAATATTATTCAATTTAAATTTTTATAATTTCTCTATTTTCCCGATTTCGTATTAATTACTTATTCCATACGTTGAACCAGACCTCGCGTCGCGAAGAATACGGTAACGAAAATATGTCACGGTCCTTTTATCTTACTTATCACGCATGAAAAATGCATTACAAAATAGAAGCACATCGTGACACGCGACTAATCCGCTGCAAACATATCTCTGAAAGCCATAAAAAGAAGGTAAAAACGTTAATGAACCTCTTAAGCTAAGAACTTTGTCTACTCGAGATACCATAATCATTTCTTGCGAAAAGTACTCTCATGCAAAAAATCTGTCACGTTCTTCTTCCAATGCAATATGTTGTCAAGAGATTGTTCTATATAAAAATCTTCTTTATGACGTTTCAGATAGACATTATTTTTCTCTGATTTTCCTGTTACCTTCGTTTTAGTGTTTCTCCGGTAATCAAATGCTTGATACACCCATGATATATTTCCCTAGAATTAGTATGAGGAAAATTTACTCGGATTTTCCAGCTGTTGCATTACGGTATCTCCTATTATCATGCGCATACGTTATTAATAACGCGGGGAGTTATTCTATCAAACCTGCTGGGAGTGACTCCAATTAGAGGATTAGAAAACTGTAATTATAACACTGAACATGATAGTCGCAAATTGCGAGACAACGCAATGTTAACGATTATTGGTAAGGAATACTACTATACTAAGAAACGATGCAAAGAGATTGATAAAATTACTGAAATCAAATATGTAAACAATCGACAGAAGTAGATTCTTCATAACTTCTTACCTAATCGAAGAAAGTCCAGAATATCTCTTATTATTTCCAGTTTTTCGTATTTCGTCTGGCGAAATTTTTAATTTAATTTTGTAATTAAAAAGAGAGAATACGAGAACGATAACGTGTATCAGTGACAAGTGTCAGATAAATTCCGAATTCATGGTAATATTCTTCAGGAGTTGCACCCAAGCTGATGAAATTATCGTTGGAGGAACGTATGTTAGACAAAACAAATATTCGAAGAAATTATTCCTGACAAAAGAAGTCTAATTGTGTATCGCAGCTTTGTATTTAATCGGCATATGCCTGTAAACTCGGTAGTACTAGTATACACCGGATGTGACTCGTGTACACGTGTGAATATTTATCGAGGAAAAGGAAACGTTAATATCAAAATCTTTAACCTTTAGATTACAGCTTTGTTCACGTGAGAATATTGCTACTGCTTTGATTATGATGTAATTCAATTCGATCGTTCAACGTAAATTATTTATCTTCGATAACACAATTATTTATCCATATTTACGTATTATTATTTTTATTTATTAACGATAGTCTTACGATTCTATATGAGATTGCTGAAACTTGTTTAAAGTACGCGAAATAATTCCTAAACATCATTCAACGTTAAATAATGGTCTCGAGCTGTATAATTTAGATCGACTGATGCAAATAGTCGAAATGCAGTGAACCGCAAAATGTTAACTAGTTTCGTGGGAGGTCGATAAAGGCTTCTGGTTTTAGCGAATTGTCGGTAAATGTTACACTAGTTTTGCCATAGTTAATATATCGCGATACCAGGTAAAACTATCCAATAAAATTGATGATATTAACTACTTCAATTTTCTTCATCACGATAATATTCGAATTTTTTCATTCATACATTCTACTAACAATACTTATAATAAATTAAATTGAATGAAAATAATTAAATATTTATAAATCAGACACTTATACCTCATCTAAAATATTTAATTTCCGCCATATTTGTTTCCACGCTTTGCAATAAAAGTATAAGGCAAAGAATTTAATACTTAAGGGATATCGCAAATATTTTCCTCTGTTATTAAATAATATAATTAACTCTTTCTCAACTTCTTATACTGAAAATACGTGACTCTCAAAGCTTACTCCAATTCATTACTATTTCCATTCAAGTTGTTACACAAAACACACCACGCTCATTCAGTACCACATGTGTACCGCAATAAATATCAGCATATATAAGTCGAAAATGAGAGACATTGATAGAAACTAAAGCGCCGACAATGTGTTAAATGCGCTCCAATTTATTGCACGACGAACAGAGCAACTTTCGTCGAATACCGTCAATGTATCATTTCTATATAAACCGATTTTCTTAATAACTCCAATCTGCCCGGCAAAGAGATCCATCCATACCATTCTTAAGAAACGGCCATTTTAAATAACTGGCTGATAAAAACCATTAAAAATCCACTTTGAATTATCCATTTACCGATTCCTTTATCTACCAAATAAAACACACCCTTTACCTAGAAATGACACTTCTTTCCTATTTTTATCGCCTGCTTTCATTTTATCGTCCTGCTTCTGGAAAAATCACGGTTAAACGAAGATAAGAACGACGACGAAAAGTCGAGACACTGTATCAAATATTCCGTTTGGAGTGATTCGAAGAGAAGATCGAAGAAACTGTCCGGATCGTAGGTTGGTTGATACTCGAGGAAAATCGAGGGCGATCTTTCTTGGTTCCCCGCTTCGAGAAAGTCCACGCGGCATTGAACTTCGTCCACGGTTACATTTGGCTACAGTCGCTGCAGTCAGATCAACTGCGCATATTTTTTGGCCCGTTGTTCTGTTAAGGCACCGGAATGCCTAAAAGAATTACCTAAACAACCTCCCCTGAAATCCGCTAAGTTGAGTCGCAAACGCGAGAAATTCAAGGAATTCGCAAGAAAATGGCACCTGATGTATACGCTTTATCGATTAAACGATCTATCCATTAATTAATCTCCGTATTTACTTCTTCTGTTATTATTATTATTATTATATTATTAATAATAATAACGAGATAAAATATGGTATAAAATGTGGAATAAAATTTCGAATTCGAAACCCGAAGAGAATCGAGGAAACTCGAAGAAAAATGGCCCTTTCTATCCTTCACATTCTTACGACCCTCGCATATTTTATTTGACGAGAAGATTCTTATCTTGGAATAATAATTACATTCCGAAGGATTTATGGTAACCTTCTGCTAACTAATCAGCGACGAATTAATCGAGATCCGAGAGATATTTTCAATTTTCGCGCGTTTTGTTTATACAGCGCTGCAGCTGTGACCTCGTGAGGAAAAAAAAGGTACCTTTAATGATTTTGTATAATTTCGCTTATCTCCGAGTGAGTATCGTAAGAAAGGTGTTATATTAAAGCGGTGTATCGCGTGGAAAATTGGCAGAACCTCTTTCATTCGCGTGTAACGTGAATAAGAATCAAGGTTCCCGAGCGAACACACGGGTGTGTGGAGGACGCGTAGGCGTCGAGACGCCTTTCCAACGGACACGTGTGTGAAATGATTCATGCAACAGTTTTCCGACAGATTTCGAAGCTTACGAGCAGTTATGAGCAAGACAATGAGTGAAAATTCGTGTATTCTTGATTCGATGGAAATGCCTTTTGTGAGCTGGGTCCAGCGCCAAGGACGCTAATCAACGCTTCTAATCGAATCCACGAACATAAGGAATTTTTATTTCCGCTCTTTACAGACTTACGTTACGCTCAGCCAAGTGTGAGAAACAGGAAAGATAAATTTTCGAAATATTAAATTTTATTAATACGATAAAAAGATATTATATCTAAGGAATTATCCGAGACTTAACTTTCGTCGAGCTTAAATAAGAAACAAAAGGTATAAATATTGGAAATATTAAAACGAATAATAAAATAATTGGTGTGAGATTAAATTTTATTACGCGATATTTAAATAATTTCGTAGAGTTTCAAAATCATGAATTTTGTGAATTTTTCCTCTTGTTATTTATAGCCACTTTTATGTTATACTTTGTCGAATAAAAAGAAATTGTGACTATTTGAATTTTTGTATTTAATTCTTTTGACAGAAATGATATACATGGATACAATTTAAAAAAAATAGCAATTATTTTCTATTCTTGAATATTAATTTAATATAAAGGAAATCTCGACGAATCGCAACTTCTTTCTCTCAAAAGCGAAAGAAATTCCTCGAAAGTCATAAAAATTTGAACTCGAGACAAACTCTTTTTTCCTTCCGTTTCTGATAGATCGTCTTACATTATCCCTAGCTACACGTTTCTTAATATCTATACTGAACGGACGTTAAACCTTGCACGTGCATCGGATAGATAGGCGGCCTTATCTTTATTACAACTTTTCACCCTTTTAACCGATTTACAGGGATTCATTGAGTCTGTTCTCGAAGTTCCGATAAAACGATAAAATATGTTGGACTAAAGACCTTGCACCAAGCTCGGATTCATCCAAATCGACAGAGTATACAATTCTGCAGATACTGTTCACTCGCAAATAGAACTCGATGCGAGAAATGGAACGGTAATTCGGATTAGCCGAATGTTCTCCGGAGAACCTTAACCTATTGCTTATCAAAGCGAATTTTTATGAAGTGTATCTACGGATGATTCAGTTCTAACGCGAATAATTATTACGTATTAATCACGTATTAATCACTAGGGATTTTTCTTTCGGGAAACCGAACCTGGAAATATTTTCATGGCAAAGTCCATATATTGCGTGTGAAAGATCAGGAACATCGGGAAAATAACCTCTGGATATCAAAATAACGGAAGGTTAGAGAAATCGGTATTATTATTTTATGTTGAACGTAGTTATATTTCTCTTTCCTTAAAAATTATTACGAAGGTACTGTCGTTAGTATCACGAGTTTAATAACTTTCCTATAAGTTCGATATCAATAGTTAATAAAATCCGCTAAGCTTTAGTACCGATCGGAGGATTATAATGGCGCTACAGCACAATACCGCGCCATTTGCGATAAAACAACTTTGCTGCTATAAACACGGCCACTCTTGAATATATCTCTAAAATATTGCTCACGTCTCGTAATCTCGCACATGCGTGCGCGAAATGTAACGCTGCAGTTCGAAAGATAGGAAACACGGTTAAGTAATCCCGTTATCTTTTTAATCCGCATTATTTAGGAAACGTTAATAGACTGCCAACACATAATCAACCGTTTCGCAGCTACTGTGAATTTTTACTCCATCTCATTCCAGCTTCTATTTCTTCTTCACTTGCTTCAACTTTAACAAGTCGAATGGTCATCGAAATAATACGCGAATCGTTATTGTTCATTGCAAATGAAATTTCAACAATGGTTAGTTCAGAGTTTGTTTCACGAATCGGTCGAACGCGTCTATAATGGCGAATTGTAGCAGAAATGTATTAGTAACACAGTGATCTAACAATTTATAGTATTTATAACTGTACCGAATTTCGAAATTGTAGACTCGCGTTTCGCGCCATTTTTGTCTACGATACAACTATAACAATTACAACGAATTCCCAAATTATAAACTTACCTAAATTTCCCGCCATTTTCGTCCACGATAATTATCCCAAATTTCTAACCTATCAAATTTAAATCTCGCGCCATTTTTTGCGCGTCAATTTCGAAACTATCCCGACTCTATTGATTTTCATTGCGTTCACCTATGTTAAACGATCAAACCGCGAAGCTTCGATATCTCGCATAAATTACGAAAGCACAGTCAGTATGATAAAATACATATCAATACCTAAATTCGTTCCTCGTCTCTTCGTTTCGCTCTCGACTTTACCTTCTAATCTCAAACCTCGCTCCAAACGGAAGAACGTTGACGAGAGAGAAGCTGAATGACAACAGCCACCAAGGAACGCGTAAAGACGTACAACTCGAAGGAATGATTTGGGAAAGTCCCTTACCTCTTTCTGGCACCGCGCAGGACAGATGTTCCCGAGATTTTCTCCCAATCGCGCGACTTTTCAGTCTCGCTCCGCTTTCCCGTCAGACCTCGTACACCGAGCAGATCGGTCTACCTCGAAACATGCGCAAAACTGTTCCTCGTCCTCGATCAACCACCACGATCGGTTCTCACCGACTCAAGATCCCTTTTACCCCGGACCTGACTAACGCTCCGAATTCCCTGATTCGATCTCTGATTGTGCAGATTCGACCAAGGATTCGCGAGTCACAAAAGATCCGCAGAGAGATCTGTCAGAGGTAGCTAGGAAACATGGAATGTCTCTGACGATGAACCAGAGAACGAGAGACTCGATGTTTTGAACCGCGAAAGTTGAGTCAGGGCTAGGCAGACCTCGGATGCTGAGTGTCTATCGTGTCTGTGGGATTGTCTTCACAGGTTCTGTCTATGATCTGCGTGGCAGCGCGTCTGCCATGCGTCGTGCGCGAGCTACAGCGATCAACTAAAATGCGAGGGAAAGCGCTTGCTCGCGCGTGTTGCTCGTGCGAAACTGACTCGATCGGCCGCGCGAGTCCGCTTCGAGGCATAACCTCGCTCCGTCTCGACGCTGGCGTGCCCCTGGCGCTCCTCTGGCGTCCCCCTGACGTTTACCCGGCCGTTCCTGGCGAACGTTGGGGACGTGACGAGACGCGCAGGTTGCCGTGGTCATCCAGATACGTCACACCGACTACGCATATACTAGCTTTTCGTTCACACTTGGAACGTACATAGTTTCGAATGTCGTATTAGTCTTTAAATCGGGCAAGAATCCATTTGAGTGTCGATATTTATTTCCTGGGCTTTTGACGAAATTTCGATGAAAATTTACGGAAAGATTTAAGAGTTCAGGAAAAATTGGGAAGATTGATATATCTTGGAAGGTGGATAGGTAAATTGTATTTATAGCAATGGAGTTAAGAGTAAACGTGATAACAGTTATTGTTCTCGTTGATACCAAGTATATAATAGAAGATCATTGAGATCTATAAGCGTAAGAGTACACTGATGGTTAGATGCGAAGTGACAGATAGATATTCGCAAGTTGATTTGTAAGAGGATTTACTGCGACATGCTCTAAAACCAACGACCTCCCCTGGTCGATTATCCCGATAGCTAAATATCTATTTTTGCGACGCAGATCGCTGCAATTTGCGGCTGACGAGCTCATGAAATTGAGAACCGACTTGAAGTCGCACGGAGAACGATTGGTAACTCGTGGATACCTCGTGCTAGAAAATTGATGGATATTAGAAGTTCTTTGTCGGCTTCGTCGACGAGGGACTTACATGAACAGCTGCTCAAACGAATCTTCGAGATAAATGCGAAGAAGAAACGCGATAGTTTCGATTATTCGCGATTTTCCCAAACAGATTTGATTCTCTTCGAGTGAACTTCCTTCGTTTCAAGTGAAATCGTGTGAGTTTTTTTTTATATTTTCGATTAACTTCTTTTCGAGAAATGTCGAAACTTTCTCGTAAGATTATGGTTCTTTAGGATCATTAGTATCATTTTCTTACTAGAAAAAGTAATCAAAGGTTGGAGAAACAGGTTTTGCTCTTATACCAGCGGCAATCAATTTTCCGTGTAACGAAATCTGTTATTAAACATGGTTTCTCGAACGAATTTCAATAACACGTTTCAATTTTTTCGTATTTATCACTGTCCATTCCTCCGTACTGTATTTTTCCAAGGACTAGTGGCACTTTCACTGTTTTTGATTTTCTTCCGTTCTTCCGTTGAATTCCAAATGTTTATTGCAATATTAATTACTCTACTTAATGTCTTCATTATCATAGCGACATAAAATAGCTGTGGCACGAAAATAGTATTCGAATAGCAAATTTAAGCTTTGAATACTTAAAACAAACTATAGAAGAAATATATATATTTATCAGCCATTTTTTGATAAATCGTTTTCTCTAAATTACCTCGCGCCTAAAAATATTTCTTTAAATTTAAACTTTATATTCCGACAATTGAGATTGATTATAAAGTTGGTAGAAAAATTACTCCTCCCGATGGCACAAACAGAAAGAATTTACGCACGAAAGTATAATAATAAGATAAGACATATATAAAACATTAATTTACGGGCTACTTAAAAAAATAAGTAAAAGAGAAAAACAGTTGAGATAATTAAGATAATTAAGATAGATCTCCTTTAGAACATTTATTCGACCTGACATTTTGACTTATGAGCCCTCCCTTCCACACCCTCAATTACACGTTTCAAGCTTAATATTATTCTACCTCTCTCGCGTTTCTTCTCAAACAGATGTCAAAGCAATATTACCGATGTTACAGAATTAATCATGATGTTTTAATTTATTAAAACGCACGATGCAGCTGAAACGCAAAAACGTTTACATTATACACATGTCAAACACGTTCGAACTTTTATATACTCGAAGAACAAGGAAAAGTCATGAACACGCTCATGCATATTTATGCAAGCATATATCACTCGTTATACACGTTCTGAAATATACTACTTTAATAAATCCTCTTCTAGTCGTTGACTAACCGATTCACTGAGCCATGATTGACGCCTAAAACTTCAACTAATTGGCACCCTAACTTCTGCGAAGATAAAGCGAAATATTTGCATACTAATTTTGTTCATCTATTCGAACTTCCATGAAAGATAGATCTATTTCGTTATTCCATCTGAAGCATTGTTTCAGACCCAAACCTTGATTCTCGGTGAACAATTGACTGAACAAAGCGTTCCGAAATAGCTGAAAATAATTCCTTCTCAAATGACAGAAAAAGGGGGCATTTATCGTGTTATCCTGAATTTTCCAATTACCCTGAAAACGTAAAATCGCTTAAGTGTACCCTTTTGAAGCAATCTCGCAGCGTACGATTCATCTGTTCCGAGAATAGTAGCTCGTAGTGCTAAACTAATCGTAACAAAAGTTTAATGACCCCCGAAGTTTGAAAAATTCGACTAAGTAGGATGCGAGTTAATGTAATAACGCTCGAATTGCCACTGTTTAAATGGCATCGTGATCTCCGTCGAATTGTCCAGTGGCAGAATTGACGGATGCCCTGCTTTCCAAAACATTTGCCGGAAAATAAAGGAAACACGGCAACTCCCGTTGCTTTCCAAGAAGAAACTGTACATTGAACTTTATATTCGACGTACAAGCGTTTCTTGTGTAATCCTGCGATATCCAGTGACGTAAGCTTTTTTTCATTTCGCGTTATGGTTGTTCATTATAATACTGATAACCTTTATCTATTTATATCTCCCGATAAACGTGGACATAACGTATGCATGTATAATGCGGATGGAACCCACCTCAATGTATATACTGCATTCCAGAAATGGCGAGTTTTTGCTGCCAGACAAATTAAGGATGGATTACTCATCAAATGCAATTACGAGCTACGCAAGATTAGTCTAGTCGTGGAAATTAGGTTTTGAAATATGCAAGTGTGCATAGTTAGACATGTACCATTTTCTATCGGGTTTAGATTTAACGAGTACAGTAGTGCGATAAATTAATCTATCATGGAAAATGTATTTAGGCTGTATGGTATAGGATAGTATGAGACAGTAATAATACTCTTACACTAATTTAGTTTCCTATTTTAGTGTAACTAATCATAGTTTTATCAATTGACACGATTAGATGTAAAGTAGCAGTAATTACAGTTTATTTAACATTATTAGTAATAATATCATTTGGTTGTACAATTTTAATATCACTGATGAAATTTTCTAAAATTACTATATAATGAAATAATAATTTAATTTTCAAAATATAATTCAGATATTCAAGTGTTTAGAGATTTTATTGAGAAAAGTGCGTAAATTTAATTCTAATAAAAATTAATTTAACGCGATGGAATAAAATTAAAATTAAATTAATACCATACTTTAAATGTAAAATTATACAAGTGTTGTACCCAAATTTTTACGAGTAGTCCGGACATCAAATTTTCTCCCATGCTAAAATTCGCACTCGCGAATTTCATTTTAGTTTCCGGATACGGTACATGCTTCCAGAAATCGGCTTCTCTCAATCTAAACAGCGATGCTGAAACTGATTTCTGTACAAACTGATAGCAAATATCGACCGGCTATTAGTCCGAAAATATCCTTAACAGCAACTTGAATAACTAGTAATAGGAATGAACTTTGTGACATTAGAACATTTATGTTGATTCGTATTAACCTCTAATGAGAAAGGTTTGGGGTCCTCCTCTTAATAACCTCGTTAACCCAATTTAATTCATAAGGAAGAATTCATAAGGACACCATGCTCGTCTTACATCAGTGAAAGACTGGAATTCCGGATATGAATTCAAGTAGTTTAATTCCATCAGCAACTGCGTAAAAACTGTTGGTGACAATTGTGAAAGACAGTTGGACACATATTTTTTTTTTTTTTTTTCGTGCATGATCCTCACAGTTATTCAAATAAAGGGAAAAAGAGAAGGAAGATTTATTTCCAAAATTTACCGGTAATTTAATTGGCAGATAATTTGATTTTATTATTATTTTAGTGCAGCTAATTAGGTGATGAAAATATGCTTGATTCTTCTATAACACGGTTAAATCGTTATGTGTTATACTGGAACCAAGTTCAACCTGAAACTAATCAAATCAACAGAAACATTATTATATACAACTCGTGTTATGAGAATACCGTGTTGTAGGAGCTTTCTCGCAATTTTTATTATATCGAAATCATATTTTCATTGTATTATGTGCAAAGGTGTTTAATATATATAATTAAACAATTAACTTATAGCTAAAAAATATCTTCCTTTGTTAACTAATGCTTAAACAATTTCCTCCTTTTACGAATGAAATGTACGTACTGTCAATTATAAACGTGGTACAGGCCTAAATAATTTTTTAATTTACTGGAATCCTGTATTTTGGAAGTAAACAATATACATGTGACTGGAGTACTCTTATGATCGACGAGAACTAACGGATTGTCGCGAGTTTAATTTCTTCTAATTTGTACGTTGTCATTCTTCAGCATAAGACCGAGGAAAGAGAGAAGCTGACTTGAGCCAGTAACTCGTGTCAGATTTAAGTATCTTAAAAGACAGAAGAAAGATCTAAAGTACGCTAACACAAATGGAAGATTTGCGAACTAAGATAAACGAGTACTCTGAATGAATTAGTTGTTTTATTTGACACTTAATATCTTCATCAGCACGATGACCCGACAGAACGTTCATTGGCTTTCGCCACAAAGAAAGATCCATCTATGAAGGACTTATTACCAGTCACTGTATTTTTTTCTCATCATAATAACACGCATTTTCCTGGCTGATGACTTTCGCAATTATCTGTGTCTGGCATGCTGCAAATGTAAAATCAAAGACAGCGACCAACGGAAGCGTATTAATTTAACGACCCGCTAATGAAGACTTATTAATAAACGTCCTGCCTCCAATGCTTCTTGTCCTCTTATTATTCTCCATATGAATTAAGAGAAATTACTCGTGGAAAAAACCGCTTCCGTTAATCGTCCGTCGGTAATTAGTTGTCGATATTAATAAAATTTGAAATGAATGAAAATTAAGAATAAG